GTGAACTGCTGAGCACCTACCGACTTCCTGCAAGTAAATCCACTCTGTATCTTGCCGGCTTAGGTCCTGTTTCCCATGCATCACCAAGTTATTGTGCTTCTTTTTAAAACTAAGTTCTCATTTCTAATCAGTGTGAATGAAGCTTTTTACAAACTGTTCAAATTTTAAGATTAAACTTAAAAAAATTAAGTTAGCTAAATTAAAACCAGAATGCAGACCACTCTTTGCAGATGATACACAGGCAGACCACTTGCTGACCAGCCAAAGCCCAGGCCCACAAACCTTTATACACAAGAGCAAAGACATGCATGTGAGTGTTTGCAGGATTAATGCTCCAAGTGTAACGCACGAGTTGTATATAAGTATGCTCAGTGTTAGGAGATCCACCTGTGCTGGTAATATTTATGTTTTCACTTACTTGTGATAATCTTAGTGCTTCCCCTTATGACATCTGACACCCTGTGGTGGTGGTTGACTGTGCAGAGCTCAGAGACAAAGTTGAAGACAGCTTGGGATTGTCACGTGCTACCCAGTGATGGGTCTGAAGACAGGCCCCCAGTGCTTTGGAGGACAATTTGCATCAAAAGAGTGGAGCTGCAGAAATATTGGAAGCCATGGCTGCCAAGCTATCTGCCATCAAAGCAAATGGAGCTGCAACACACTGCATACCTTATTTAAGTCCAGAAAAAAACAGAAAGAGCAGGGAGATATTTATGTCTGACACATGAAGAAAAGCCTCTGTGTTCATACAGCACTTGAAGCACTTGTTTAGGCTGAGGACAGCCCCAGGTCTGAATGGGGGGAGCAGAGCCAGGCATACATTGATGCCCACACCCCACTTCCAAGCCGAGTGCTGATGGGTGGCACTGCTGCAGGGTGTGCCTCACCCGTCCCCACCAGCCCCAGCGCATCTGCACTGAGCTTGAACATCGCTTATGGTAATACAGCGGTTATACCTGGAAATGCTGCCACGGTTAGAAATCCCTGTTAGATCACCGGCCTTGTAAATGACCAGAGCAACCTTTGAAAGACTGCTAGATCCTTTTCTGAAGTTTCTAATGCTCGGAGTTCAGCTCTGGTGTGTGTTTAGCCTCTGCTTCTTCTAGACAGTGAGAAGAATGTGGCATTCGGGAGCTGAAAGGATGGCTTACAATTCTTGTACGTATATAGCCAACTTTCCACCTTTCTCCACAACTCCTGTAGGTCTCAGGCAGCTGTCATTCTTTCTCTTGCCAGTTTACTCATCACAAGTGGTTTTATGTGCACCCTTGCACGTCACTGCCTGGAAGAGCCCCCACAAAACCCTCTTAAGTTGACCCACCATCTGGGATCACAATTTGCACCAATCTTCCACAAAGATCAACTGATCTGTTCATTATATGAATTTTTAAAATAAATTTTTACTTTTTTTTCCAAATCTTTTTAAAAAGATCATAGATTTTAATTCAATTGAGGTTTAAGGATGGATTCAGTGGGAACTGACTACAAGAAGAGTTAATTCCTGGGTCTCCACCCAATGCTTCTAGCAAATGGTTCAAAAGATTGTTCAAGAGACAGTTTGAGTAGCTCATGCCAATGAGTACATTTTATTTAAACTTTCTTCAAAAGGTCTTTTCTGATCTCACTGCTGAAAACATAGCAGTTCATTCTTCCACTGACTGATCTGTCCAGCCATCTAGAGAAGGTAATGACTGCAGATTAGGATTTTCCATACCCTTTCAGGTATACAGAAGAGCGAAACCCTTGATGTTACCATCAGCCTATTGACTATCTATTTTTGCGAGGAAAGAAGTGTTTTGCTTATTCTGGTCATTAGCCAAAGTGGGCTCTGTGTCTCACAGTGTGATGCCTTGCTGCCAGTTCTGTTCTTTCATTACCCTGTATTTTGTACAATATCTCCCGCTTCGCTAACTTTCTTTGTCCTCCTGAACCAGAAGTGCTGTTCCCACCCATGGAGTATTTTGTGATGCTACAGTCACCATCACCTGCAGCTTAAAGTAAATAAGAGAAAGTCTCAGTTTTGTGTTGATATCAAAGCCTGACCTTTTTCTAATGCTAAGATCCTGAATTTTTTACTACTAAATTTTCAGAGGGAAAGTAAGCCACAGGTCTAAGTTGGCTGTCAGATGCACATAAAAAGTGTAGGCTGAAAAGTAAACAAGAAAGAAACTAAAGGAGGGTCGTACCAGGTCATTTCCCAAATTGTTCATCTTTGGGAATCCAGAAGTGATGAGGCTGTGCCTTTCAACTTACCCATATTTTGAGATTAGACTGAATGTGGAGCAGTACTTCGCCGGTCAGCCTGCTCTAGAGCTTCAGAAGAAGCTCAGAGGAAACAAACTGTTGCCTGCAAGGAGCAGTTGTCTGAGCATACCTTGTTAAAGCAGTGTTTCCCTCTGAGATCCTCCAGGCATTTCAACTGTCTGCTGAAATCGGAAGTAGAGCAGTAGTATTCATTATTTAGAAGTGGCAGGGAAACACATGTTCTCATGTTATCCCATCTGGTTACAAAAACCCTATTACACTGTTTTGGTATCTAAAGCACTGTCACAGAAGAGGCTCCGAATGAACTAAGCCTACCCTTACCCTGTATGCTGGCATTTCTGTGAGCCAGACAAGGGTAATGAAGCTTTAAAAAGTGAATCATTTACGGAAAACAGGGATAGTTTGATGCAGACGTGACAAGCCTGTGCCACTTTATCAATACTTCACAAGTGCCAAGGTGCTTCCTACCTGGATCAATTCCTCCAGACACTTGCTTTGTTTACCTTGTAATCTGCTAACTTTTAGTTTTAAAAAGCTGCTAAACTTTTCCCCCAAAAAGACGAACTTATAAAATAACGTAATGTGTATGATCTATTTTATGATCAAGCTTGACATTGGATTCTGATTCTGCTTGTGCTAGTTTTATACTCTCTGCGTCGCATTTTTCTCCCCTCTAAGAAGCAAAAGAGCTGCTTAGTCTTTACAATGTTGAGTGTGGCAGATTAAAATGATCTCCCAGTGTCTTTTATTCTAGATCTTGAAAACAACTTGTGCTAGATCAGAAATCATCCAGCCAAAGGAAAAACAGAACCAGATGCAAATTTCAACTCAAAATATTTTTTTGTTACTGTCCCATTTGCTGCTTCATGAAACAAAAATCTGGTGTAATGCGTTGCTCGCCTCTGAGCGGAGAAACTGGGACTTCTTCTGTACCTTCCCCTGTTTATTGGTGCATTTTTCATAGCGTTGTACTTAAAAAAATGAGGATATTGTTGAGTGTAAACTGGAGGAGGAACTAGAAAGGTGCCCCTGGCTGGTCCTGGTGGATTCACTCTGGAGTGGGACCCCACTTCCACCTGCCTCCTCTGGTCTCCCCATGCGGCCGCACAGAGGCACTGGGAGCACAACTCCAAATACACCTAAATCCTGGGATTTCTATCCCAAGTTCATATTTTCATAAAAAGCCACTAGTTCTAGAAAGCCTCATCTGCAAAGCCCACAGTCATAACAATTCCACATTTTATGATTTTTCTTTTTTTAAATAAGGGAAAACAAGAAATCCTTTGAGGAAGTCTGATACTTGACTACAAGTTCCTCAATAAACATAGCGCACAGCAGTATCAATGGGAATCGCCTATGCTAATAAAAGGGCATGAAGTTGCCTATTAACAGATTCTGATTATATGTCATCTTGTTTTCTGTTTTACTTCCTTGCCATAAGGAAGTGAATATTTTTCATTAAAAGAACCATTTAGTGACAAGTACAGAAATCTAGATCATATATGTGAAAGGGATGTAGCCGAGAATGAAGTGCTTGTAAGATTTCTTTCCCAAGTGATTATTTTTTTGTGAAATCCAATAACAGCAGAAATGTGCTTGTTTCATGTATAATAAACTATTGCCAGCAGTTGAGGTCTGCCAGCGCTTAACTGGCGGGTGTTTGGAGAAGGGAAGCTGATCTTCCCATCTGCCCTCTCCTAATTAAGAGCCTGATTCTGATCCTATTGATGCAAGGGTACATTCTGTCATTGGAGAAATAAGAATAGGAGTAAGTTCTTAGTTTGGGAGATCCAAGAATTTTTAAAGGGCTATTTGATATACATGGGCAACCTCTACAAACCTCCTTACGTTTTGAAGAGGACCTCTCTCAGCAGAACTGGTTCCAAAAGTCTTGCAGATCCCGTAGGATCCACACGTGGGAAATCCACACACCAGAATGCAAGAAAGCTTCAAGAAGATAAATTAAATCACAGATTTAAAGTGAGCCCCACCCCAAACAAACAGAAGCCTGTCATTATAGCCATATTGCACAAAATAACATTGGCTTAACCTCTTCCTTACAGCCCTCTGGTGAGGCTGTTACTTTGCCTTGCTTTTGTCATGGTACCTATAACAGGTCAGGATTTTTTTTCCGTCCTGTGAGAAATTTGAAATTAAAACCAAGACTTATTTCACTGAGTCTGCACAAATGTCAGCTTTGTAACACCTGCAATGCGAAAAAGATGTTCCAATTCAGTTAAAATATTTTCAGAACAAGATTTCTAACAGAGGTTGTTTTCCTGTAAAAATACCTTTTAGCGTAGAATTAAATTCCTAAGTAAAATCCCATTTCTGAGCTGATTTTTTAAGAAGTCGAATATGGTGGTTTTAGCAATTTCACCCCCAATTCCACTTATTTTCTTTTTCTTTTCTTCTTTTTGAGCTAGAGCATTTGCCACCCCACCCTTTCGCTAGAAAAAGTTTAGTCTGACTACTTCTAATACCACCTGGAAATATATATATGAAGTTGCCTAAATAATACTTTATCTCCTACTACCTCATGGAGAGCTATCATTTTAGAGAGTGAACATCCACAAAAATCAATACTTAGAAGAGCAGAGACCTGCTTATGCCTGCAGATTTACAGCACTTCTAATAATAGCTTTCTGATGTTTGCACCGCAGGAACTTGCCTATCTTTTTCTAACTAATGTCACCATGTTGTATCATGTATTTACGGCACTGTTTTAATTTCAGGTAGCAGAGAAGCAGCATTCACATATGCCATCATTGCTGCTGGAGTAGCACATGCAATCACGGCTGCCTGTACACAGGGCAACCTGAGTGACTGTGGTTGTGACAAAGAAAAACAAGGACAGTACCATAAAGAGGAAGGATGGAAATGGGGAGGCTGCTCTGCTGACATCAGATACGGAATAGGATTCGCCAAAGTGTTTGTGGATGCCCGGGAGATTAAGCAAAACGCAAGGACCCTCATGAACCTGCACAACAACGAGGCCGGGCGGAAGGTAAGTACTTCCGCTCTCCCCCAGACGCGGCCGTCTCCAGCCTGGGCTTGGAGATGGGGTTAGATCATGCACAGTGCATGAGAACTACAGTGCGCTTTAATGCTAACCTCATTTTACAGTAGACAGGTAGGCAGCTTTGCAAGTTATACAAGCTTGTTGGACGCTCTGTCCATCAAATATTTGTCTAAATGTTACTCTTTACAGTGAGAAAAAAGCGAAGAAACATTTTATTTGAAAAGTCAAATGGTACTTATGATAAAAAAGCTTGCCTGCTACTGTGTGGGTGAATGGGATTCTCGTCAGGTTCAGACATGAACTTCTCACTTATTTGAAAAGGGATCATTTTCAACCCAACTGTTTAAACCTTGCTCTTTGTGTGAGGACTACGTCTATAAGGAGAAAAATACTTTAGCAAAAAGAAGACAGACTGTTACACCATTATATGGATTTGGTTTATCATTTTGCACAGCAACACTCCTGCCCCCTCCCCATTCTTTGGGACCGGGTATCTGAAAGCAGCTACTGCAGAACGAGCGCTCGGGAAGACAGGAATTCAGCAGCTTCCAACACACGTTTCCTGGGGATCCTGGGCACTGACTGCCCCAGATTTGCTGCCTTTGCCGCTTGCTGCACTCGGCCACTTTTCTGATTGTCAATGGCAGCCGTTGCAGATGCAAGACCAAACCTGATCTCTGCTCCTCAGATCCTTGCAGGTCAGACGTTCCCCAGCACGTGTCAGTGGTGGAGGGGCTCTGATTTACACCAGCTAGGAATAGCCAGGGGATGTCTGTGTGCTCCGTGTACTGCTGTGTGCAGGTACAGTCCAGTGCTGCTTTCCATGCGTTACCGTTCTGCTGATCACATCTTACAGAATGAATGTAAATCCTCTTGCTGTCTTAGCTCTCTATCTTACTTTCTTCACTGTTTGCACTCCTGTGCATCAGTACTGATTTTAGCATTATATTAGTGTGACTTAGAAGCAAATGGGAGAAGGAAGTTAGGAACAGCAGTTAATTTGTGGATACTATTTTTGTTGTGATAATTACCTGTAGGGTCTGAGACATCTCCACTTATGCTGGAGCCAAGCAGATGGCATTGAAGAAAAGCCATTTCCACCCCAAACAAAAGCCTAACTTTTCTTTTATTTAATGCTACTGTAGTAGTTTTATAGGTCAGATTATGGTTTTTACTCTGCCTGGTATCCCAAATGCCTGTGTCTGGCTCTCTAGTGCAAACATGGTACTTCAAAACACTAGCAAAATTGACACTGAATTCTGAGAATAACTCAAGGACTAATCATTAATATTTGCTAATCAAATGATCTGAGATTCAGTATCTTTAGTACTTGGCTTCTGGTAGCACGAAGGCACATACTGAAAAGCCTGGTAAAACACCAAGGCCCACAGTCTGCTCTGCTATACAAGCACAAATCCACTGAAATAAAAAATAGCAGAGGAGTTTCACCTGTGTGGGAAAGCTACTTCCCTGAAAGGTCTGCTTTTATTTGATAGGTGCTGGCAGTAAAAGATTCTCAAGAAATGACACACCAGCCTGTAGAGGACTGCAAACATAGATGGAACTGGCTACTGTCTTAGAAAATTGTTTCAATTACAAAGCTCAAAGATATAGATAAAAAAAGGAGTTGCATTTCTTGGATCTGTTATCACCCGGGTATGGACCTAGGGTAGAGGAGGAGGGATATTAGTCCTGGAGCCGGCCTGTGGGAGGGCAAAGCATTCAGCAGCCTCCCCTTGAGGACATGAGCTCCTTGTGTTTCTCACCTATATGTGCACAATTTGCTGTCCTAAAAGATTATGCCTGGAAGATTCAGCTCTACGCATTGTTATCTGGAAGAACAGTGGTGCGTCCTATCTCTGGCGATCTGCCATTTCTCCAGCAGGCTCAGGAACTGTTCCGATCTAGAGATATTTCTACGCTTCTTCCTGCATCCCTTACAAAATTACTGATCTTTGTTCGAACAAATCTCTGAAATCTTCAGGGGAAAGAAAGAGTAACACGACTGAGAAGAGGCATGTTACTCCACCATCCTGTGGAGAATGAATAAATGATGTTTTTGCTAGAGAGATTCCTTTCAGGCTTTGCTCTTATGTGAAAGATCACAGTATTTAAAGACAATTGGCAGAGGGAGGCCATTATGGGTATTTGGCAAGCTAGGTCTCTCACAACCTAACCCTTTCACAACAAAAACTGTCTTGTTTTGAGGTGGTACTTTCCCTTTTGGAGCAATATGGATCTTATCAGCCTCCACACAATCTATTCTTGGTGGCTTTCCCCTGGGCTACAGATTCTTGTCTAGTTTTACTCACCCGTGGCTAGGTTTTTGATGATATTTATGCATCTAGGAGACAGACTGGCACCTACTGGGCTTCCAAAAATAAAATAGATATTCAATTCTTATTGATTTATCTTCACCTGTAGGCACCGCTATGCTGTTCAAAAGTCAGTCCCCGCTACTTCTCTGGTCTTGCAATGCGAAACTGCACTGTGTGCTGTGCCCCACTCCCCCAGGTGCTCACGAATGACCTGTGAAAAAGTCCTTCTTTAGGATGACATCAGCTGCAGGTGATTCAGGATGCACTCTAGTAAATCATACATATATTATTATATAGTTGTCTTCTTAAGAATCACTAGTAAATTAATCTGTTCCATCTTGGCGAGCCAGAGATGACAGACTACACTGCAGTAGGCAGGCCTGCTGGGCTTACCAAGGAAACTGAGCATAAGTAGGACTGCATGGTATAAACCAACAGAGGACCACAAGGAAAAGCCTGATCCAGACTTTTTGGAGATCTCATTTCAAGACTTTCCACCTTCTCATAGTCTTGTTTTACCTAGGCAGATGTCTCTCTGCTGCCTGCGATGCCAACAACAGTCTCTCTGAACCTACTGAATACAGGACAGAGCAATACTATAAGCATCTGTCAGCTCTTTCTAGAAGCAAATAAAAATTGACTGTGTCAAATGCAGAGGATTTTAGAGGTCATAGGTGGAGAACATCCATGCTGCTATTCCCCTTCCTGAACAGCCTTGCTAGTGCAATGTTTGAAAAATACCCATGTGCACACCCATGGTGCAGCGCATCCCACCTGAGATCAGCGTGTGTGAAATGTCTCTATTTCCAGTTGCTCCCACACTGCAAACTAATGCCAGCGATGCCAACGGTTCCTGCAGAATGAGCACCCATGATGCCTCCACTGCTGGGGTGCAGCGAGTAACAGTTTTCCTTACTGTTAAAAGACAGGGCTCTAACTCTCTGTTTGTCTCTCTGTCTTGACGTCAAACCACCAGGACTGAGTTCTGTAGCACATAGGCACAACTTCAAAGTTCCCAGGCTACTTGGAGGGGAAGGGGCAGAGTTCAAAACAGGGGTCGCATACACCCTACAAAACTGGCCCCAAGCAGCCCGAGAAGCCTCATATCGTTTGTCAAACCTATTGGAGAGCAGCTATTTCTGACCTCCAGAAACAGAGTTTAGGGTGTCTTTCCTCTTTGAATTAGTATTTCCTGAAATGCTGATTCACTGCAGGAAGAAGCAAGCAGTACAGGGCGAACAGGAGGAGAATTCATAACAGCTGGGTCAGAAAAGAGAGATAAAGCTTGAATTAATTTAAAGGCATAATCCTGATTTGCCCTGCAAACTTCCATGTGAGGGGTTATAATTGCAAGACTGAATTGTCTGTTAGCAAATTTGTCTTCTCAAGTACAAAGTTAATTAAATTACCGTAAGTAACACAATAACGTATGTCTGAGAGATACTAATGCTCCAGGAAATAAAAATGTTATTCTCCAAGTTATCCTGCTAAACAATAGCAAAGTAGGTACTGAAAGGTTCTACATATTTTGGCTGTAAACTTTTCATTTTGACAGCATGGCAAGGTACATGACCAGATTGCTCTCTCCTCTCTTTTTCTCTGTGACATTGAAATTCCACGAATGGCATCTTGCATCAGCGTTACATCATATTAAGTATAATGCAATATTATGAGTCATTGTTATAAATCATGGGCACCGGCTGCATTAGAAGGCTTTTGCAATTCAAGAGCACATCAAGGTGGATTTTTATTCAGCGTTTCTCTTTGGAGGCGTACCTAGGTGCACTAACTTTGCAATGTATCTTCATCCTCTGAATCAGTAGCATTTCAGTTTTCCCTTTCAGCTCTAGGGCTGATAGGAGAAGTGCAGTACGTGCCCTACAGAGTTGCTGCAAATATCAAGCAAAGCTATGAGAAACCAGAAGGTACTTCTGAAGTGGATCATGCAATGATCATAATAGACTGAAGTGTTTAGTATTTTATCCTTTAGGAAAAACTGTAATAACATTGAAGTGAAACACCAGCATTTGGAAAGCATGGAGTTCAGGAGTTCTCCCAAGCTATTCTGTAAAGCCTACCCTTATGACAGTCACCCCCTTTACTTGCTAGCATCTCTGACCTCAGAAGGAGATTGCTGCCATAGAACTTCCCTGAACTTCTTCCAGTTCTTGCATAGTGTGCAATCACCACACCACTGCAAGAATTTAACTATCCTCTAGAGGAGACAGCTATTTCTACTTCATTCAAGATACCTTTTACTTTAACTAGCCTATTAGCCTGACTACAAGAAACAACACGGAACACAAGCTCTTGCAGATGAACCACTTCAAAGGTTGTAAGCATCTAGCACGTTGTTAGAAAAAAGACAAGACTAATAAAAGAGGCTGCCAAACAATTTAACATTTGTAATTTTTCTGAATATAGGCATGAAATTCTGGAGATTTAATAGTTCTGCCTGAACTAAGTCTTAAAGCATGTGAAAACATGGCACTATTCCTGCTTGCACCCATGGCTCCGTTCAGCTGCCTGCAGTGGAGAGGGAGTGCAGCTTGTGGGCTTGCAGCCGTGCTGGGGTGGCCCTGCCCAAGGAAGACCACAACCTTCCAGGGGGACTGCAGCAGTCCAGCGGCTCCTGGTAGGAGCTCTGTTTCCAGAAGGCGATCAGGA